ACGATCATAAATCTATTCACTTCCAAAATTTAGGGGGTTCGACCGAACCCACCCAACCCCACCAAACTACGGGCCTGAATATCTCCCATATACAGGACTGTTGTCCTGGGATTGTAGTGCCAGCCTAAGCTTGCTGGGTGCCGCACTGTAGTGCTTGCCACTAAGACTACGGGCACATGGAAATCACCAAAAGATTTTGACAAGTCCACTCCTGAATTTGAGATGACAAAACAATTATTAAGTTGGAGTTAATAATTGATTATTATTTAGCAGACTCTTAGAGTCCCGGATTATGAACATCAATCTCACCGTAACACGTCATGTTTCATAATTTATAACATATCAGATATATCTGATATCAAATATATTTAACAAAAAAAAAAATATTCATTAATCAGGAATAGGACAGAAGCCCACACCCTCCCCGTGGCTTTCGTTGCGTATGGAAGTTATTTTCACGAGTGATGCGGTATATCCTGCGGCCGTACTTTCACTATAAGATTCGGTTATGTTCACGTCCAAATGTCTTGACATTCGGTTCGCTTAACTTGCGATTACCTCAACATTCGGTTTGCATGACTTGCGATTACCTCAACATTCGATTACCTGACCTACATTAGCTGACCCCGCTATACATGTAGTATTCAATCCATAGTCCCGGGCCGCCTCCGCTAAAGCAGTTGACATCAGGGAGACTATCACAGAGTACGCACTCTTGGCATGCGCCATTTATACTGTCACAGAATTTATCAGGTCCACACTGGCATCCTGAAGATAACAATGAACAGCACAATATAATGAATGTAAGATGTAGCACATATTGATTCATTGTCAATATTGGTTGAGAGAATTCTGGAACAATTTTGAAAGGCAGCAGCGGAATGTATTGTGTGCTCACGCTTGGACACTAAATGGTAACAACTAAGTGAATCACGGGTATTGGATAATTTTACAATCGGAAGATGAAAACAAGCATGCAAATAATATTATCACTACCCGATTTAAATATAAATATAATTACAAATTACAAAATAGTTTTCAATTCTAAACAAAAAAACTTAGATAAAATTCTTCTATAACTACAATCGAACATCCACACAATGCAATACAATATTTTAATAATTCGACTCTTTTACCCAGTGTTAGAATTCGAATAACGAAATTTGTATTTGTTTCTAATAAAAAATGGCATCAAATAGCTTAAATTTGTGATATGATGTTACCTGTTTATTTCTATGTTTGAATGATCGAAAGTATATATTTATACATGGCCCTTATCGTATGCCGCCCTCAGCGTTGAATAAGAGTATTTCACTCACCAGTTCTTGGCTGGTCCCACCTCAAGTGTCACGGCGCACCAAGCCACAGGAGGCCGGTAACTAGTAATGACTACAGTATTCTGATTGGTCCATCATGTTCTCGTTCCTTGTTCTATTCCCTTAGTTACCTGACGTCAGCGCTTACCCTCGCAGACGTTTCATATATAAAGAAAGGGTTTCTCAGCTCTCAAAAGTTGCACGAATATAAAACTGTTTTATTTTTATCACTTTGCACAAAAACAGCGAGAAATGTTAGAACCAACTCAAGTATGAAGTCTCAGCAGGCGGAATGAATGGATGCGGCGTTATTGTAGTTTTACAGACACGTTATGCAGAACTGAACTTGGAATGTTTTCAAATTACGTCACTTAGTCACGTGCCTTTGGGCCGGAATCCCGGCCGGTGGAACAAAATACTAGTTACCAGGAATGCGATCGCGTCGTCGTCTCGGGCGAACTCCGCACAGTTCGATATATAGAAGATAATATTTGCTAATCGTAGTCCTAAATAATGGCATCAAAGAGCTTAAATTTGTGATATGATGTTACCTGTTTATTTCTATGTTTGATACGCGTTACTTATCATCACTGCACAAAGCAGCTTTGCGTAGAACTCATTTGCATATTCGAATATGTTCGAACAACAAGACCCTGTCGGTTATGCGTAAGTCACTCGGTTACTTTAATCGCTCTAATCGTGAATATTTTCGATTTTCCGCATCTAACAGCCATAGAACACAAATGTTCTAATAAGTTCATAAAGTTAGTCATTTATTGTACAATCTAATGACTTGGAATCTAGGAAAGGATTGCACTTTTCTTTGTCAAGTCATGTATATTTCAATCTAATTAACTGAGATTTTATTTGGAGTAAGGGCACGAAACGATAAAGATATCAAATAGTATTACATTCAGTGCTAAAATCTTTTCAAAATGTTAAAATAATGAAAAAGTAGATCCTGCAGTAGGAGACGTAGATGTCGGTAAATCGTCGGTTCAAATCGTTGGTGCGTTCACGTCGTTGCCTCGGGTGACGCGGGCGCCTCGCGCCTACCCAGTTTTCGTTCGACTGCTATATGACGTCACAACTGGGCGATGTTGGGAAAAAGATAGCGAACTACAAAATCGATAGGTAAAAAGGTGTTTAGGTAAATTTCTCAACCATAAAATGCTAGTGGGCGTGATTTCAAAATACATTTTATACGAGTTTCGCTCGCATAGCAACGGACCAATACATCTACTTCCTACCACGTCGTTTGGGAGGGAGCGACGCGAACGCATTCATGGCAAAGCAAAAAGTAGGTCCGGTCATTAATATTTGAATTAGCTTGTGGCACAATCTCCTTCCCAGAGGCCTTTGCGCTCTACGCAATAGTGCCTCTGCCACAGGCAGCCTTCAATTTTGTGGTC